TACCTGCTATGTGTAGTGGTTTTTTAGATCAGCCAGGATCCTCCTCTTCTCAGGTTCCCCGCCAGCATTCCTGGCCCCCTCCCTCCTGCCAAATGTCCCCACAGCAATCAGCTTGCTATGGGGACACCCGCTGCTCAGTGTGTCCATTCACACACAGAGCTGCAGCTCAGCCCTGCCCCCTCTCTCTTCTCATTGGCTGTGATTGACAGCAGTGGGAGCCAATGGCTCGATCGAGAGTGGGCTTAGATGAGTATTGGGAGGGCTGGGGCAGGATGCTGCACAGAGAAGGGTTTTTACCTTTATGCATAGAATGGATGAAGGTAAAAAGAACCTTGAGCCTTTAGAACCACTTGACCTTCAGCTAAAGCACTTTGACTGTTCAAAATACACTGAAATTTTTTTTTTTTTTTTTTTAACAGTGCACATTTTCCCCATCACACACACACACGTGAGTTGTCACGGTAAATAAAAAGACACCACACACAAGGCTGTTTTACTGCAATATTTATTATAGTTAACATTTTTAAAAAATGCTTTGAAAAGCTACATGTATGTTAAATTAACTGTTAGAACATAATTTGAGGTCATGTCAATCCAAAATACTATGGTCACACACATTCACACCCTCCCCTGCAAGAAGCATAAATTCAGAACTGATATGTTTAAGACAATGCAGAATATTGGTGCAATAGAGAAAACACAAATGGGATAAAAGTATCAGAGGGAAAAATGTTTGCAAATGAACTCTGCAAGGCTGTTTTGACCTATAAGATGAGCTACCTCTGGCATTGAGGCAGGACATGTCCTAAGAATGCTAGCTCTACCCCTAGTCTGTGAAGCTGTCACCAATGCGTGCTATGACATGGATGCCAGTCCTAATGCCTGGTGGTATGAAGAAGAAGTGGGGGGGGTCTACACAGTATCCAAGTAACAAGGCACAGCCTTGTCGCCTGGGAAATCAGCCCTTGTTTCTAGAAGATTAGGGAAGCCTCACAATGGTAAAAGGAGTGGAAAAAAAAAAAAAACAGGTGAAGGGTTATCATTCATATTTACATGCATACAAATTGCAGGCCACACAATGACAATCCAAGAAAAAAAAAACAATAATGAACGTGCAGTGATGAGCTGGAATAAAAACATGGAATTGTGCATTGTTCTGTCGCACTTACATAATATGTTTATGACAAATAAAATCTATATCTTTTAGGACCAAAGCCCTACTGGCAATCGTTTCTTGTGCAAATTTGTCCCCCTTATATGCCAAAGTAGGAGTTTTCATTACAAATAGTAGCCAGTGTACACCAATAGCTATACCTGGACAGGGATCATACACTTGAATTTATAGATAAAATACTAGATGTGAGTAAATGTTCTCTTTGGTGCAAATGGCATAGTGTTCTAAGATCTAACCTCTATAGGTGTGCAGACCCGTCCTATCTGCAAGGCTGTAGTTAACATCAGTGACTAGCTCAGTGCATGCAAAGACTTTGGCAAAGCAGGCAGGAGATTATGCGAAGTATCAGATCTGCATCCTACCCCACTACAATTAGGTTTTCTGCTTTTGTAACACTCCTTACATACACAAAATTTCTATATGACAGGGATATGTTAGCCATAGCATCCAATCAACTTTTGAATGAAAATCTGCTCCATACAAATGGCAGCTGAGATGCTATAGCCAACAGCTAAAGTGACAATTTTCTGCAAGTATAGCTGAAACTACAAGCTGCCAGGAGGGTGGCCGGTGCCCATTGGCCCAACTCCCAGCCTATGCATCTCATGCCTCCACAATATATTTACTAACCAAATGCCAGCGATAAGTTATGGAGTTTAAAAATGGTTTTACTTTTTTCCTCCCATTGATATGTAATAATTAATACAAGATAATCATATTCATTTTTTAAAAACAAAAAACATTTATGTGGTGGCCTGAAATAAAAGTCAAGGTCCTGTGTTCTTTGCAATTCCAAAGGTGTAGGATCTAAAAAGTATTTAGATCTTTCTGTACAAAGTCTGATCTATAATATAGATTGCAATGTCTCTGGGTGGGCTGAGTTCTTTTGCACTGAAGAGTCTCAAGAGAGGGAGCTTTGGCTGGGATCCAGGCTGTACAGAAAAGAAAGAAAATGACACAGTATTGATTTAGTCCAAAATGGGTTTATTCTCTCACAGAAGATAAGCCAGCATGTTTTACATTACCCCCTTTACCAGGAGGAAGCGATTTCTTCTATTGGGATATAAGCTTCTAGAGCTGGTTGTTGCAGCCTGATAAAGGATATGCAGCCCAAAAGGCATTGATTTTGTATGGGGAAAGTACATTTTGGACTCCAAAATTGATGCTGTAGCATTTTCTCTCTTTTGTATAATGTGTCCCTGCAGGCATTGAATGGATAACAGTTTTGTTTTCAATGTCATTCTTGCCAGAACCAAAAATCCTCTCTTGCTCTTTGTCCATTTCTAAATCTGACTTTTTAGAGCCTTAAAAGGATAAGTTCACCTTTAAAAAAAAAAATAAAAAATGCACCTCTTTTTGCAGCTTAAAAAAAAAATTAAAAATGTGGATTTATTTTTTTTTCATTGGGAGCCTGTAGAGCATTGCACCCACAATCAGCAGATCACAGGTGCAATGCAGGGCTCTTGCAGACTGTCAGTGTAAGCCGTCTCGTCATACTGGGTGCTGGTAGGCAGTCGCATCAATGACCCACCTAGGGCCCTCACCGTACTTTGGTAGCTCACTGAGACCTAAAAGCGGACAGTTGCAAAGGCTGATGGTATTTGTAGTTTTCCATTCACAGAACTCTGAATAAATGATAAGTGCGCAGAGTCCCACTTGGCCATATCTTTTTTAAAGTGTGACAGCAGGTGTGGGGAGAAGATCCCCGGCCTGCTGTCACAGTGGGTACTTGGGGTAGAGAGGAGGCAGCTGCAGCAGTAACATGTTACAAAAGGTTAACTTATCCTTTACCATCCATTTTACTAAACACTTGGGGACCATTATCTAGTCAACTAAGTTTCATAAGCAAGAGAACCTGTCTAAATAAGTACGATTGGATAACTGTCTTGTTAATTAACATTAACTGAAACGGTTTTAGAGGACTGCACTATTATAGCTTATGTAAAATGTTTTAACTGATGAATATGTAAATGTAGATTCTAAAAATTTAAGTTCTTTAATCTGCATGTACTAGAGTAAGAAGCAATGTTTTTTAAATATACAGCTGAGTTCTGTCAAATACCATTGTGGTGCCTGCTTCTGTCTTAACATGATAGCTAGCGTAGAGCAATAGGATGCACAGGGTCCCATAAATATCAAAGATCTCCCAGATACAGGGATTCTTGCATGCAAAGTTGTGAGTGTAAGCTCTTTCTCAGAAGGTAACTTGACTTTTTAGTAGAGTGGTCCTTTAAGCAATTGTTTATTAGACCACAGAAAGTTGCTTTAAGATTTTAGCATATATGTAAATGCATATAATCCACTAGCTCATGCAGTTGTATCATGAAAGAACACCATTGTCTTAATTTTAATCATCTCATATACAACAGCTATAAATCCAAGTGATGCAGTTTGCACAATTCATGATATAAAAAAAAAAAAGTGTCATTTCTGCTTCATGTTAAAAAAAAGTTTTAAATATTAAGTCGCATTTCTGACAGTGATAACAGTGGAAGGGCATGGCTAAGAGAAGTATATGGCTAGTCCTGTAGATAATGTTAAGCAAAGCACTCCCCATATGACAAAGCCAGCCACTCTGCAACATCTAATCAAAATAGACTCTCATGGGCACGTCATAATGTACAACTTAGTTTTGCTGACCCAACCTCTCCAGCAGGTGGTTGCAAGATGTCACGTGCCTATTGCGTATGAATATCACAGTTCCTATTGCACTGGAAAATATATACTGAAACAGTTGTGCGAGTGACACATGCCAACTCCCCCACAAGTATAGATGTCCGAAGTCAAGTGCTTTAACCTGGTGTTGTCTGAGCTGCCAGGGAGCGGAATGCCATGGATGCCAATGCTACCTGTAATCTATGGTAAACCATCCAACACCCTAACGCTTCATGCGTGCCCTCAGGAAGAGTCGGTGCTCTCTGTCTCAATGGCAGCAGTTCCCACAGCCTCCCGGATGAATGGGAGGCGCCAGGATGTGGGCCATCGCAGGAAGACGGGGGGTCTGAGGGTGTAGAGTGTGGAAAAGTGCTGGCCCCAGAAGGATGGGGAGAGGCGCAGGAGCCCATCTGGATTAGGCTTCAGGTCTTGGGGGTGAGTGAAAGAGGGGAGCACGGACTCAGACAGAGGGAGGGGTTCTCTGTAACAACCAAAAGGAACGGGAAGGGAAAAAAAATGGGAGGGGGGAACAAAGAAAAACGAAAAGTTATACAGGTTCTCAATAGCAGGGGATAAAATGGAGATGGGAAATTAATGCTTAAAAATGGAAATGCAGGCACTCAAATGATTGTGGACAGACACACAAGATGGGCTGTGACACGATGAAATGGAAGGCATAAGTGATGTTTGGAAAAAGAACATAAAGAGATTATTAGTTCCCTAAATCATAAATGATGGCAGCAAGATAAGTTACAACACAGAAATACGCTGCAGCACAGGTGACATTGATTTGATTACATGATTAAAAATGGGGATAAGGTCCTGGCTGCTCTTAATATCACATTTTCAGAAGAATACCCAATTCATTCTAGCTTTACCTCCAGTGTAAGCTGCTATGCTAAATATATAACCACTCAAGGAGACCGCTTGTCATCAAGAAGTTGACTTATGAGAGCACAGCTGTAATTTTATTTCATTTTGCACATGCTAATCGGACATGGTCTCAGAGAGCATTAAAGGGTGATTCCTTGACACTTATAAAGGGGACAGAATAATGAATGGTAAATGATTTAGAACTTGATACACAGGTGGGATTAAGTCTGTCTGGTGAGGGAAGGTGAAGTATCTGCTTTGTCAGCTGTACTGATGCAGATAATAGTTCAAGAACCAGCTACCTGGACACCATGGAACTGGAGTGAGACTGGCTTGAGGAGGTGGTGGCAGCACTGAGTTGGGAGAAACCACTGTGGCTCGATTCAAGACTGGTCATGGAACCCCTAAAGAGAAGAAGTATAGGGAAAAAATTAAGCTCAGCAAAGAAATGAGAACTTCTTATTCATGTGACCTTAAAGTAGAGGTCAACCCAATCAATCAATTAAACCTCAAATAGGTTTTAACATGTTAAAAGTAATTTTCAATGTTTTTATCTCTGCAGTTTACATTAAAATAATACCAGGTGGTCATTTGATGAAGATCCTTGTTCAGGCACTTCCTGTGCCTCTCTCTCTGGCACCCTGTCACAAACTATCTCAACTATCTGGGGGCTACTAGGGGCCATTTTACCACTCATTACACAGGTATGGTTTGTCATCATTAAAAAACCATGGCAGGAAGTGGCAACAAAGAGGGAGCAGTTTTACATAGATGCAACAAAAGGTGAAAACTATTTTACCTAAAGTAAACCCTAACTGAATGACAAGCAGTTTCCAAAGCATAGTGTATCCAACTATTGTCATTTTTTCTTAAAATGTTTTCACCTTCTTCCATTGTTTGTTGCATCCCAGTGTTGCTGGTCTCCTGCAGCCAGTTCCAGCAATGGCCACAAGGCATATTGCACACTGCTGCGTTTTTTTTTGACTGATAAAAAAGGACCATGTCTGCGTAATCTGTGTTGAAACGGCTGCCTGTAGTCTGCATTGGCAGAATGTATGACAGGGTAACAATGCAGAAGACACATTGGGAGACGGGCACAGTGTTGTCGCCCTATAACAGGGCTAAGCAAGACCTTTATGCAGGATACTCCAGGTGTTATTTTAATGAAAGGTGCATATTTCAAAATACTAGATATGACTTCAGTAAATAATGTAAAGCATATATGTGATTTTAGTAAGTGGGCTAATATATACTAAAAAAGGCAGTTTTTCATTATACACAGTACTTTAGTAAACAAAATGCCTTTAAATCTACTTTACAAGTTAACCAGCTGCAAAATACAGCCCTGAACCGTACCTGAAATCCTCAGAGCCAATGATCTCGGTATAGTACATTACTTTGCATTTGTGGGAGGAGACTTGTAAGGATGCAAGAACATCGTCCACACGTGGCAGGCTGCTGGTGGCACAAGCCGGCATGTTGTGGAATTTCCATTGCAGGATGTAGAAACCCGGCCAGCGGGTTACATGAGAACCCTGTGGGGGGGAAAAAAAAAATGCATTTGAAAATGTTGCTACAACACAACCAGAAAGTTAATGGCAGCTACTTTTAAAAGGATAAGTTCACCTTTTATAACATGTTACTGCTGCAGCTGTCCCCCTACCAGTGCGGTTGATCGCTCTAGGTAGTTCATTGATGCTTCTTGTCATTGTGTACCTGCCTGCTTGTACGAGGTACAAGCAGAAAGCTTACACTGACCGTCTGCAAGAGCCCTGCATTGCACCTGCAATCGGCTGACCATGGGTGCAATGCTGTACAGACTCCCAATAAAAATGATAAATGCACATTTTTATTTTACCTGCAAAAAGGTGCGCATTTATTATAAGATGAACTTATCCTTTAAAAAATTTACCTAAATCCCAAAATAGAAATGTAACATATTGTAGCTTGCCAGTCCTTATATGTGGTGTCATTAGTTTTATTTTTTTAGACTGTTTTCCTTTATGGTATGCCTAGATGTACACCTCCACTAGATCAATAGAAAGAGCCATAGTGGTCACCCAGATCACGTCAAGCATGTCTGCTGTTGTTCATCTCCATCACATGATGGGGAAATAAGGGGGGGGGGATTTGTAGTATAAAAAAAAGATAACATTGTTTTTGCTTCCAGCTCATCTCATAGGAAATGACAAAAACCCTGCATTTCCAGCAAGATCAATGGGCATTACTTAAAGACACCTAATGAAGCAACCACACCTACGGACTGGTAAGCTGCAATGTATTACATTTTTTTTATCTTGGGTTTGGTTATCTTTTAACAAAGATTGTTACCTGCACACTCTCTCCCTCCTTGCAGGTCAGCGGAGATTCCACCATACTGTAATCTCGGCCTAACTGCCAAGCCTTGTCAATTAATTGCACATTGTTGCACACAGGAGATGTAATGCCGTGAGCTCCGAGAGTATCCCGTTTGGGCACTTGTGGCGCTCTCTTGGAGTGGTAGATATTAAAAACAATGTCCCCTTTACAAACATCAAAGTCCCAAGTAATCACAGAAGAGGCATCCACTATTTGGACCAAGACCTGCAAAGGTAAAATGAAAATTGAAAGAATATCACTTAATTTTCAATAAAGCATACACTGTGCTATTACAAAGTATTTACAGTTTCTTAATTGTTCTTTAGATCTTATAGAAAGGGCAGAAATAGAGATATAATGTGATAAGAATGGGGGGGGGGGGGTTCTCCTCAGTCTAGCCATATGAAACACCCCACCCAGGATCAGCTGTTAAGTCAAGTGACTGTGGGCCAATAGCTTTCTGCAGTTACATCATAGGTGGTGAAGAGAAGGGGTATTCATAGCACATAAAGGGTTAAAACCATAGGGATAAGCCTTTGTACAACACAGCTTGAAAGTCCAAATAAAATCCAATGTGGAGTCTAAGAAAAACACTCTTATGGTGTGCTTCAAAATTGTGGCTGCTATACAAGAGTTAAAAGTGAACTCTAGAAACCGAATGCCAATAGAAAAAGGGGAGCACACAGCGGGATCCTGGGACCAGGAGACAAGCAGTGTTTACCCTTTTGATAAGCGAGTTGCAGTTTTTAACATGTGAGTTGCCAATTTATGAGCTTAATAAAAATTGTTGGTTTGTTGCACTTAGATAGTGCTTCCCTTTTTCTGCTTGCATAGGTGGAGATGCAGATCCCTGCTGGCCTTGGTTGGACAATAAGTGTGATCAGCAGGTTTGGTCTTTGAATGTAAATGTTGATCTGGCACAAAGTACACAAAAAGTTTAAGAGCTCATTCACACATACAGCCAGCTGTGGTTTTACCACCCCTCTTAACCAAACACAGTGACCAGAGGAGGTTCTATACATGGCATAATAAAAATGATACTCAGTTGCATTAGTCGATTACATTACTGATTATGAGATTTTAAGTAAATGGGGGCAACAACACAACATCTGTGCAAGCACATACAGGGTACGTGGTTGTGGCACAGTGGTGCAGGTTTTTTTTCTAAATTAAAGGAGGCAGTAGGGAGGCCTATCCATTCTATGAAAATCAATCTGTAGGCAATGGTTGCCTCTAGTGTAAAGAAGCCCTTACAGTGGAATTAACATGAAGATAGATGGATAAGAAAACATATCCTTATGGTGAGTTCCATTGCTGTCACTTTTAGGACACCTTTAGGCTACGTTTACACTAGCCTTAATAGCAAGCGGCAGACAGGCGTTTGGGAAGCATTTTTACAGTTTTCCAAACGCCTCAGAAAATTCTGCACATTGCAGCACATGGTGCTGTTCAAACGGGAGCGTTAGCATCGCGTTGCAGCAAAACGGACGCCTCTGGTCGAGTCAGGAGGAGTTGAAGCCTCATATTCAAGTCTATGGTGCCGCTCTGCAAACGCCCAACCGGCGTTTGCGGTGCGGTTGCGGAGCGTTAACACCATTCAAACTTCATTATAGGCGTTTGTGGGGCGTTTTTAATGCGTGGCAAAAGCCTAGCAACCGACGCTAAACCGCGTATGCGGCGCGTTAAAAACATTCTGCAAACGCCAGACTAACGCTTGTCAAACGCTATAGGGGCATTTGGCAAGAGTTGGAAAAACAGTCAAGTGTGAACGAGCCCTTAGACCTGTCTGGGCCATTGGGGTGCGTTAATCCATTTATTTGGAATGAGATGCCAACACATCTCAACAGCCACTGAAAGGGCATAACCATTTTTTGTAATGCAGTGCACCAAAGCACACAGTATATGCCAAGTCTTGCCTTAAGGTGGGAATACACAATTAGAAAATCCACCGAACGGTTATCAGACGACCAAGAGGCGTTCGTTCGTTGGCCAAAATCGTGGCCCACATTAACCAATCTAAAAAAAATCCTTCGTTGGGCGATATGTAGCGCTGACGTCTTCCGTACAAGTGGAAGTGATGCAGTGTGCATGTGACCTTGTAGCCACGCCCTTCCGGCCAGAACGAGCGATATACACAATTAACAGAAATGAGTATAATATCGTTTATTACATTACCTATATACATAAATAGTGATACATAATATGCAGAATTCTGGTTTCATTATCTCGTTAGGCCAATCTACTTTTAACATCTGGATTTTTCATTTGTGTTTACGAAGATTCCTTGGACATAAACATCCGGGTCATCTTCTGTTTCCGCTCATGCTTGATAGATTTTTTTTTTTTGTATGACCGTCATACCACCGCATTGAAAATCAGTCGTTCGTATGCAAAACAACATTTTTCATTGTTGTTCTACCGGATTTTTTCGGTCACAATATCGTTATCGGTTAAAACATCCTGCTCATCAATGAAGAGAAAATCGTTCAATCAGTGGTTCCGCTAAATCTTTCATACGATTTTCTTATGTGTACGGGGCATTATAGCGTGGCAACATTGAGTTAAAATTCATAATGAATAGCACCACGATGCAGATTACAAACCGCTAGGTTATTAAAAATGAACTATAGTACTGTGGTGAAATAAGCATCTTACCAAGTTTTTCAACACCACATCATTCTAAAGAGGGACTTGATCAAAATGTAAAAAAAGTTCATACAAAAAGAAGTGCAAATTAGCACATTACTACAAATACATTATAAATCGCCAATATGTCTGGCATGATAGGATTTTTGTGACGCTTTTCAAATACATACATGCTGCACTGCCTCATGAAACACTAACAATATTTTGTATTAAACTAAAAAATACTGGAAACTACTAGGACCAGATTAGGATCCCTTGTCACAAAGGAGCACAATAGGTTAGTGGAAAGCTTTCACTGATCATACCTCATGTGGGGCACCCTTAAACACGCTGGCTGACTGGTAGATAGTCTCGGTCCACAGTCTGATATCCTCACTTTCCAGCTCCTCTGGAGTCCGGTACAGAGCTTTGGGAACCAGCCCACCCTCTGGAACCTCGCACTGAAATACACAGCACACAAACCACTACCTGTAAAAATGCTACAATGTACCATGCAATGACAGCTTTCTAAGAGAGACAGTTTTTTTCTTCAGACACTGAACTTTTAACAAAAGAAGACATGAAAATACATTCTCACTCCAACATATACATTTTTTGTCACGTCTTTATTGATTATTATACTACAGACAACCAGACCAAATGTTATTATCAACGATACAAGGCGATTTTGTCAACACTACACGTACGCTTCAAATTCTACGCCTGCTTCCATTTACTAGCTTACAAGAAGGTGAACCATCATTAGCCAGTTTACAATTGTCATACATGAAACAAGGCAGACTGGGGGCCTTCCCAGAGAGCCGCTTTAAAACAGTGCTCTGCCTATTAACTATGCATGCCCCAAGTGTGTGTAACAAGGCTTATGATCAAGTTGTCAGACAGCTCAGATCACAGGCAAATTTCACACAGCCAGAGTGGGTCTGGGCCTTGTGATGGGCCAATCACAAATGTAAACACTACTACTGTTTACATCTGAAAGCCCTCTGCTCCCTCTCACATAGTAGTGCAGTGAATGAAGGGATCACAGGCAGCAAAGTCAAGGTAGTGGGTTGTAAATAATGCCTCTGAGTGTGAGCTGTACATCTTTTCCCCATCCTGTCTCTGATCTGTATATTAACACCATAACCTCCTTCATCCTGCAAATTAACCCAATCACCTCCCTCCCCCCCTTCCTATGTATGACCTGACATGAATACTATGTTGTATCTAATGCTCTGAGTTTTAACCAACTCTATATCACCATTTGTGTTTCCTTTTCAAAGCTTGGTAGCAAAATGAGATCACTGTGGGGTGCCCACTTTCTAATAAGGGGGTAATTTAGGGGTATTTTTATCTGACGTGTCTTATAACAAAGTAGGGGAAACAGTTTATTCCAAAGATTTTGGTCTTTATTCCATTATATAGTGAATAAAAAAAGGAAACTGTGGTCATCAAATACCACCAAAAGAAAGCTAGAGATAAAAAAAAAAAAAAAACAATTTGGGTACAGTATTGCATGACTGAGTAATCCTCAGTTAAACTATCACAGCACTGAAAAGTGGCCAAAACTTTTTTCTCGTTTGATAGAGGGGAATAATGAGAACGTCTGTGCTATGACCCCCATGGAGAGATTATTATTACACAGTATTTATATAGCGCCAACACTTCGCTCAGCGCTGTACATTACAATGGGAGACAATACACAAGACAGTACAATAACAAAACAATGCGATACATGAGGGGTTCAAGGGCCCTGCTCCTTGGAGCTTACAATCCAGGAGGGAGGGGATGGTGGCACAGGAGGAGATAGCTGTGGGGATGGAGTGGAAGGAAGAGTGGAGGAGATCGGCAATTAGCTGAGGGCGGGGTAGGCTTCCCTGAAGAGATGGGTTTTCAGTGTGCGCCTAAAGGAGAGGAGAGTAGGTGAAAGTCTGATGGATTGGGGTAGGGAGTTCCAGAGGATGGGGGAAGCCCTGGAGGCGGGCATGGGAGGGTAGGTGAAAGTCTGATGGATTGGGGTAGGGAGTTCCAGAGGATGGGGGAAGCCCTGGAGGCGGGCATGGGAGGAGGAGACCAGGGAAATAGAGAGAAGGAGGTCTTGTGAGGAGCGGAGAGTACGTTTGGGTGGTATTTGGATATCAGGTCGGTGATGTAGTTTGGGGCAGTGTTATGGACAGCTTTGTATGTCAGTGTTACCATTTTGAATTTGATCCGTTGGGCAAACGGAAGCCAGTGGAGGGATTGGCAGAGGGGGGTGGCGGATACGGAGTGGTTGGTAAGGTGGATGAGTCTGGCCGCAATATTCAAGATCGACTGAAGCAGGGATAGCCTGTGGCGAGGAGGGAGTTACAGTAGTCAAGTCGTGATATGATAAGGGAGTGAATGATCTGCTTAGTGGTTTCTGGGGTTAGGAATGTATGTATTTTGGAGATGTTGCGGAGGTGGAGTCTACATGAGTTTGTCAGCAATTGGACCTGGGGCTGGAAGGACAGATTGGAGTCTAGGATGACGCCAAGTACTCTGGCTTGCGGAGTGGGACTGATGGTGGCATTATTGGTCGTGATGGAGAAGTCGGGGGGGCGCAGTCTGGGAGGAAAACTAGGAGCTCGGTTTTGGAAAGGTTCAGTTTGAGGAAGTGGAGTGACATCCAAGCCGATATGTCATTCAGTAGGTTAGTGATTTGGGCAGAGACTGAAGGGGTGAGGTGAGGGGTAGAGAGATAGATTTGCGTGTCGTCAGCATAGAGGTGGTAGTTGAAGCCGTGAGAGTGTATCAGTTGGCCAAGGGAAGAGGTGTAGATGGAGAAGGGGACCGAGGAAAGAGCCTTGAGGGACTCCAACAGAAAGGGGGAGTGAGGGGGAGGTGGCAGCGTTGTAGGTAACACTGAAGGAGCGCTGTGATAGATAGGAAGAGAGCCAGGAGAGAGCGGAGTCTCTGAGGCCAAGAGAGTGTAGTTTTTTGAGGAGGAGGGGGTGGTCGACTGTGTCGAAAGCCACAGAGAGGTTGAGGAGTAGGAGATTTCTCCTTACTTGCTGATTCTAAACACATGCAACAGCAGCCCCATTTTTTTTTAATCATTATGGGTAAAATTTACTGATCTTTTGATTTCTGTCCTACTGGCAAACACTATGAATGCTGAGGGGATTATCAGACATAAAGCTTGCCATACACATTACAATCTAACTGTGCAATCTTGGTGCAACCTTATTCAGATTTTTCAAAGCTATATACTATAAGGACATACCTAATCTATCCATTTCATTTATAGCCACTCGAGCAAGGCTCTGCACTAGATAATTGTCAGATCTAAAGAAGATAGAACAGTCAGAATTTAATGTGTGTGGTGAGCTTAAGGGTTTACTTGTTCTTTCTCTTGCTGTCTGCATGGGTACCGCCAGAGTCTTGTTAGGCATTCCATGCATTTTGAGATATCTGCTTATCAGGGTTTATGGGCCGATTCTTCTCTACACTGATTACAGTGGTTGAGTAGAAGGCATTCATACAAGAAGTTTGCCCTGCCCATAGACATATTTAGGCTACTCACCAGGCACTCCCCACCAAGGAAATCTGGAATCACTTCTTTGTCAATGTAATCCACCAATCCTCCTGGGCCTTGATAGTCATTACCAGCATAAATAAGAAACTTCTTCCTTGTGTTCTCATCTATAAAAGGACTGACCTGGAACATGAGCAAAAGTTAAGTTCAATATTCTGCAAGCTTCCTAAATCGTATAGCAATTCAACAACAATTTAGGTTTTTTTATAATACTGTACTAAGTATATGGTGAAGCTCTAGAAAAAACAAAACATACCAATGTCCACAGAACAGGAAATACTCTGGGAGCTCGCAAGATCAACAACCGCCCCAATGTCTCTGGGTAGTTTGCTTCCACCACTTCAATGATTCGCAGTAAAGCCTTGACCCCTGGTCTCCACAAATGCCTCATATTGAGTCCCTCCAAATCCACAAGGCAGGTCCAGGAGCTGTAGTTGATAGCAAATTAAACTGCAGTGAACATAACTACTAAATAAATAATTACAATTCTGATAAATAATGCATCTGAATTCACCAGATCCCTACCAAAATTATCCATACACATGCCAGGACAAATGCTCTTACAACTGGATAGCTAGCGCCTAAACCCATCATCTAGAGCTAAATAGATGCAACAGAATCATCTATGATTAACACATGTATGTGCACCAAGAATTGAATAAGTACTATATGGTAACTTTCCCTTCATTGGAGATTGTGTTGATTTTTTTCTGTAGGCTTGCTTTTTTTTTTTTTTAAATTGTACCTGGTGATCTAGCCAAAAGGAGACTGTCCATAAACTTACCTTCCTAGGGTGATAATGCTTATTGAAAGTCTGCCTGTGCAGGATCAAATTTTTATATATATATATAGTTCTGAATCAGTACACAAAGAACATGAGGGAGCAAATACAGCCTTTTTGATCAGAGGAACCAGACAGTTTTACACTGAGTATCTCTTTATTACATGGTGTTTGCTGCATGTTTGGGTCCTATTGACTTATATTGGAATGTTTTGGAGCCATCATTAAGTAAAGAAGCAATTTTAAGGATATTGCTTGTTACTACCTTGAGCCTGTTTTGGAGCATAACCATCCAATGTTTATGATGTAATCTATAATACATTAACTGCTTCCGACCGCCCTATAGCAAATATACTGCTACAGGGCGGCACGGATGCACAAAATCGATATATATATATATATATATATATATATATATATATATATGCACATACATACATACATACATACATACATACATACATACACACACACACACATATACACACACGTGATTTTGCCTTTCCGGGTAGGGGGCGCGGGCGCGCCCTACCTGAACTGCCATTCATGGCCGCGGCTGTCAATTACCAGATTATTCACCAGAGCCCGGTGATTGCCGACCATCTCCGACGGGGAGGAGAACTGTTTGTAAACAAAACAGATCTCCTCCCTGTCAGCTCATGCACACTGCTTTGGATGGCTGTGCACAGCACAACCATGCAAAGCAGTGTGCTTACAATGAAGCACATGGACACAGCACTATGTAAAACAGCACACAGTTAACCCTTTGATCTCCCCTCATGTTAACCCCTCCCTGCCCAGTGCCTTTAGTACAGTGTCAGTGGTTTTTTTTTTTTTTTAAGCACTGATCACTGTATTGGTGTCACTGGGGATGTCAGTGACACAAGTCAGTTCCCCCCAGTGTCAGAATGCCCACCGCAGTCCCGCTATAAGTTGATCGCCGCAATTACTAGTAAAAATAAATCCCAGTATATATACCGCCATTTGTAAACGCTATAACTTTCACGTAAACCAATTAACTTGCACACATTGGGATCTTTTTTTATGCAGACGTGTACCAGAATACATTTTGGCCTAAATCTATGACAAAATTTGATTTTTAAAATTTTTTTTAACTGGACATGTTTAATAGCAAAAAGTCCAAAATATTGGGTTTTTTTTTCCTCAAAATTGTCAGTCCTTTTTTTTTTTTATTATAAAAGGACTTAAATTTGCAGCGTTGCATGACCGTGCAATTGCCCGTTAAAGTAATGCAGCGCTGTAATGCAAAAAATGGCCTGGTCAGGAATGGGGATAAATCTTCAGGAGGGCAAGTGGTTAAAGAGTGCAGTTTGACCACTCTTAGTCTAGACTAGCCTTGCATAAGAGTGGATGGTGTCACTCTGGCTATCTCTGGAAGTTTCCATGTGGGACTTGTTCTCACTACTACTATAATATTTTCTATGAACACAGTTTAATCATTACATATTGATATTTTGATTGCTTTAATTTTAGTTGGTTGACATTTTGAGGAGTAGAGCGCTGCACTTTTTTGCGTGTGTGTGTGTGTGTGTGTGTATGATGAGTGTGTGTGTGTATATAAAATTTATAATCTGTAATATCAGATGTAAAATATCTGTAAATTATGACCAGTCCATAAAAACTAAATCCTTTGCGCTGCAGATACTTATGAGCCACCTACTGGTATCAGCTGTTAATTATCACCATTTAAACTCCTGCATCTGTACACCCGCAATTGACCATTAACAGTCGTTAACATTTTTCAGCCAAGTGCCTATTGATTGAGCAATCATTTTGTCATTACTTAGGATACCAAGGCAACAAAATACATATTTTTTTCTGGGAGCACACAGCTTTCCTTTCACAATATTATCTTGCAAGGTTATTTATCTTTTTATGCAATCTAAAACCAAAAAAAAAGACCATAAGAAATGGCTTGTTTGATTCACCCTATTCTTTTCTATACCCATGGCTTCTCAACGCCCTTATAGGTCCTGAGTCTCTGGTAATACTAATGCATTTACCTAAAGGACCACCCTGTGCTAGAATTCTACGTACCAATCAGTAAAGTACTTAAAATGTTAGCATCATTGTATTGCAAAAATATTAAAATAATGACTGGAGCCTCTCTCCACAAAAGGTCTGTTCTATGCATGAAAAATCTTAAAAACATACCATGGTATATTAAAACACTCAGAACAGCTGGGTAAACGGTATAAAAAAAAAAACACATTCTGTACCACCTTAACTTGTATCAACCTCTAATGGACATATCATTAATCAAATCTCATTAAGCCAACTATATAGACCCACCCAAGCCCCTGACAGGTATGCAAAGTGTACAAATGAAACCTTCCTTGAGACAAGTTATATATGCCAACAATAACCCCTTTAATATCCACCGTGCTTCATAAAAAGGTGTGTTTATATTTCCAAGGTCATTATCCTGCTGGACATCTGACATGTCTTTCTTAATCAACCCAATTGAGCAATTTAACAATGACTGTAATTGTGTTTACAAAAATGACAACCCTTTCTGTGAAGAAGAGCTTATAGTCTCCACAAAATAAAAAATTAAGCTGTGCGTGGTCGCTTTACCCACTTAACATATCATTGCAGAGAATGGCAAAGATGTTCTATGGCTTTCAATGATCTACACACACACATGCAGCTATGAAAACTTCTACATTGAAGAAGAGTCTAAACTCCACTCCAAGTAGAAAAAGTTTGCTAGCAGTCATGTTAATGGGCAAACTTGTACTGGGTTAGCCACTTAATTTGGGTAAGTCATCCAGGGTGGTGATTTCAGATACCACAAGCTTTGGGGTTTTACTGCAGAAGGTTTCACACTTGCACTCACAATGACATACATCATGTCCTTGAAAGGATTAAAGGGCTAGTTCACCTTTACGGACTTTAGCTAAAAACATTCCAAAGCATTATAGCATCCTCAGTACATTAACATGCAATGTTCCATTTAGTAAAAGAATGCTTACTTTTTAAGATGCACATTTTATTGCCCCATCTCTATCCTGCAGATGAAATTCACATGCAAGTGCTTGGCTTCATTCCCTTCCCTATCCATGCATGTGCAGTCCACTTTTCACAAAAGAGAGCAGACTGTGAATGCATGGGTAGGGAATGAAGCCAAGTGCCCATTCATGAGTTTTCATGGCCGTGCATCCAATGCTCAGTAATTCGTACCATCTGAAAGTCTGAGCGGGCAGTGCATTGAAATCAGTGGGGTCCAGGTATAGTCCCCAAGGTACACACTGAAAGTTACCAATCTGGAACCCATTAGATAGCCATAGGAAATCAGCTAGATCTTCAGAGAAGTGTCTGAAGAAAAAGAAATGGTTAAAAAAAAAAAGAAAAAAAACTTCTCTAATAAGTGAAATCCATCACCTAAGGATACTAGCAATCCCTTGAGTTTTACAATATGGGCAAGGTTTATATGAGCATGACCCTTGGGGCAGCCCCTGCAAAGTTGTTGCCAGTGTCCAAGCACCTGAAGATAGCTTGTATATAACCCATAGTCTATAAAAACAAGTCCTATGTCCAGCTCTGTACAATTAAGATATTAAGTATTCTTTTACCAAATGCAGCACTGTATGTGAAATATACGGAGATGCTAACGTTTGGGGATGTTTTGGTAAAAAACAATAAAGTTGAACTAATGCTTTTTAAAACAAGCTCATAGTTGCAGCTTTGAAGAAAACACTGCTATCAAGCAAAACAAATTTTTGTGAAACAGAGTATAGTCCCCAGTGAAACCATTAACAAGCCTTACCTAATCGGTCGTCCAAATATTTTGGTATTTTCTTCACAGCGTCGTAGACCTTCCTCATTAATGGAGAGTACCTGTCAAAGAATAGAAAGTTAACAAAAAAAAAAAAAGCAAAGCATGCCCCCCGCCATCAGCTGTAAATTACTACTAGTATAGATTGCAGTTCCTGATCTTTTTTGCGCCTCCTCCTGCTGAATCACCCAGGGACCTCTTCTGTCTACCCCTTGGCTCAGCCCTAGGCATGTATACAGTTTAACTTCTTGCCAACCGCAGATAGCCAAATGACAGCTACACTGTGGCTGGCCAGTTCTGGGAGGGCGTCATATGACGTCCTCCCAGACTGCGCTCTCCTGCGTGCCCCCGGCGATCTCCGTGATCGCTGTGTCCAGCAGTTGCGCCAGTCAATGCCCAGCAGTGATGCCAGTCAGTGCCACCTATCAGTACCCATCATCAGTGCCACCTATCCGTGAAACCTCATAAGTGCTGCCTATCAGTGCCGCCTATCCGTGCCACCTCATTAGTGCTGTCTATCAGTACTGCCTCATCAACGCACATCAGTGAAGGAGAAAAATTACCTGTTTGAAAAATTTTATAATAGAAACAAACAAAAAAGGTTTTTTTTTTTTCCCAAATGTTTTGTTTATAGCGCAAAAAGTAAAGCGCCCAGCGGCAATTAAATACCACCAAAAGAAAGCTCTATTTGTGAGAAAAAAATGATAAAAATTTCATATGGGTACAATCTTGCATGACCGCGAAACTGTCAATCTAAGTGCGACAGCGCTGAAAGCTGAAAATTGGCCTGGTAAAGAAGGGGGTATAAGTGCCCGGTAGGCAAGTGGTTAAAGTAAAATTTTCACCAAAAGTTATTTTATTTGAATAGATCTTCCCTTAGATCCTGAGTGATGGTGGTAAGTGAACAGGAACTCTCTCAAATAGGGACATACAGCAATAAAAACTTGACTGCGGTTCTAACCCACCAATCACTGTAACATTTGACAGTTTTTTTGGTTTTTTTTTAACACCAGACTAGCAGAGGAAGGAAGGAGTGTGTCTAATATGTTAGCAAGTCAGTAGACACATGTTAAAAGGCTTTGGGCCTGTGTTAATGGCATTACTTTGAGATGTTTCTGAATTCATTGATCTCCATTTGACCTGCTTTATGTGGGTTAGCACTCTCATAAACTTGGTAATGCAAACTCCATTTGACGTGAACATGAGCTCATCAATACAGACTTGACCTCTGGATGCCTACTGAACTGCACATTCATAAGTAGACTTCCTGCACAACTGCTATGACAGGAAAGTTAAAATAAGACAACTTACATGCCTCAGGAGAGACTCTTCACCTAGAGCTCTGACCAGTCCTTTAGTGTCCATCTGTCCAAGCCTGAGCACATATAGCGGTCGACCATCTACAAGGCGATACAAATATTACAGTAATTTGGTTGAATAGAATTCCCAGCCTTGGGTACAGAAACATAGACTCATATTGGAAACCATAATCTCACCAGTCACTTTATTACCATAGCCGAATTGCTCAACAACCTTAAGAGTCACTGCACCTTATTTAATGTTTACAGACAAAACAGAAAAGTGGCTTCAACCTCTGCACAATAGATCTGTAATATTGCAGACAAACTTCCTGCTGGAGCGAATACAAGTATAATCCATAAATAGGAACACAGTAACCTTTGTCGTGATGGTGCCAGCCTCCAGCATAATAATCATGCAGAACTTGTGGGGGGCTCCAGGTGCTCAGCAGGTAGTCCACTTGGTGCTGTTTACGCCAGGTGAGAGACTGACAAAGGATTTCCCTGGCTTTGTCAATGTTAAAGTCCCGGGCACGCAAAAATCTCAGGATGTGTTCATCTTTGGGGATCTATAAACAGATTACAGTCAAACGTTAAAGGTTAATGGGGAAAATCTGTGTCAAACGAGAAGCAGAAAATAGATATGTTTTTCTCAGCAATGGCAGATAAGATGCTAATCAAACTGTAGATGATCCCAAAAGCTTAAAGCGGAACTAAACCCACTGAATTAATGGTTTCCCAAAGCAGTTACATCCAAGGCATGCCATGAATGAAAACTGTCACGTTTGCGTGTGCTGTCAACCAAACTGTCTAGTCATCAAACGGCTGGTGTCTTAACTAATCGAATGTACAGCAACATGGGAACAGCAGATCAGAGGCGAAGATGGTAGTTTCCTTGGCTGTATAGGAAAGGAGGGTTTAGTTCCACTTTAACAGCTGTACAAACAAACAGCAACTGCCCCAATCTATAATTGGCCCTTGAAGCAAGAAGCACATGAAAGGCGCAACACATGAAAAACAAATACATGTAAAAAAAATTCACAGCTCAACTTACGGACCATGAATGAGTTAGATTCATGGCAGCAAGTTTTACATTGCAGGAGAAATGATCTTTATTTCTTCTGCAAAACAAAGTGTAAAAAGAAAAAAAAAAAATCCCTGATCACCCCCACAGTAGTACAATGTTACTGTGGTTAACATTGTACTATTCTGATAAAAGTATTTTAAAAATGTAAAAAAAAAAAAAAAATATATATATATATATATATATATATATATATATATATATATATATATAAAAATACCATATTGAGATTTTTTTTTTTCATTTTTAAGGGTTTTTTTTTTTTTTTTTTAACTGCTTGGCAACCGCTTACCTGCATTTTGCAGGCAAGCAGCAGCTCTTGGGAAAGTGACGTAATCTTGCGTCGCATCCTATTTTGGGATGTGAACGTGCCACACCCACAGCTGCCCCCTGGTTGATCCAGGGAGAGTAGAAAGAGTACGGCACAGAGCAAAAGCACTACATTTTACACACACATGGTTGATTAGCACATTTAACCCTTTGATCGCCTCGTCACCCAGCCAGTGCTATTAGTACAGTGTCAGTATATAGAATTTTTCATTGATCACTGTATTCCTGTCACTAGCAACATCACATAATGTCAGGAGTTAGCGCCCCTCCCAGCCAGGGTCAGCTAGCGTTAGATTGCCCACACACTATAGGTCTCTGATCACTGCCATTAATAGTATAGTGTTTGTACAAATCAATATATTGATCACAAACAGAACTATACTAGTGCTTCCTTCGTATAGTGTCCCCAAAAACGCAGAGTTATCAGATTGGCCCCGTTCGCTGCCAGCACTAGCGTTTAGGCCCTCTGCTGTTGTTCAAGGAAGATTTGTACCAATTGATTGTGGGCAAAGGCAATTTATACACACAGCAATACATAGTTGCCCACCCAATTTCAGCTCTTGCAAGACAATTTGCATGGAAACCTATCACGGTTTCTGAATTTAAAACTCTTTTGGGACTTACATTCAACATGGGCATTACAAAAAAGAATGAATTGCTGTCATATTGGTCCACAGACCCAATTTATCATATGCCCATGTTCTCTGCTGCTACATATCTCCAACATGGACCAGCAATGTAGTGGCCATCACCTGAGGCTGATTGCAGGAGGTGTATTTAAGCAGGACCAGGCCTGTGATCAGTGCCTTGGTGTATGTTTCCCATGAGCCCCTGTACCTGCATCCTGTCTGCTTCCTGCCTGATCCTGACTCTGCTTTGATCCTGACTCTGAACGAACTCCGCCTGTCCTGACCTCGGCTATTCCTGACCACTCTTACCGCTCGCTCCTGGTACCGTTTGACCGTTTGCTACCGACCCGGCCTGCCCGACTACGTTTGATTTGTATATATGGTTATCTGTTGGAGGTTGGGTTGTTTGCACTGTGTTATGTTTACCTTGCACTGCGTTTGTGTTGTTTAGTCTTTAATAAATTGTCTTGTTTACTCTATACCTGAAGCCTGCATTTCCCTGTTTCAGTCCACACACCTTTGGTCATACCCGGAGCCCTGACAGATTCTGTGCCTCTCCATTCTTCCTCCAGACTCTGAGACCTTGATTTCCAAATGAAATGCAAAATTTACTTTCGTCTGAAAAGAGGACTTTGGACCACTGAGCAACAGTCCAGTTCTGTTTCTCCTTAGCCCAGAAAAGACGCTTCTGACGTTGTTTCTGGTTCAGGAGTGGGCTTGACACAAGGAATGCAACAGTTGTAGCCCAGGTCCTGGATACGTCTGTGTGTGGCGGCTCTTGAAGCAATGACACCAGCCATAGTCCACTCCTTGTGAATCTTCCCCAAATTTTTGAATGGCCTTCACAATCCTCTCAAGGCTGCGGTTATCCCTGTTGCTTATACACCTTTTTCTACCACGTTTTCCTTCCACTCAACTTCCCATTAATATTCTTGGATACAGCACTCTGTGAACTGCCAGCTTCTTTAGTAATGACCTTTTGTGACTTACCCTCCTAGTGGAGGCTGACTGTGACTGTCTTCTGGACAACAGCAGTCAAGCAGTTAGACTCTTCAGAAACCCGTGAACTGTGTGACACCAATCTACAATATTGAAACCAGATACTGAATTTAAAGAGTAAGACATAACCACCAAAATAAAAAGAAAAAGGCTTGCTCAGAAACTATATTTATGAGTTTTAATGGTTTTGAAATAAATCCAATTAATATAGTTGATTTATATAGAATGTGACACCTAATGAGTCTACTATTATTGAAACAAAAAAAAAAAAAAATTTTCTTACCTGTCCAGAATTCCAATCTTTTTCTGATGGTCTCCGGGTCCCCACTGAATTTGGGAAAGTTTTTATTCCTCGTGGCTTCACAGCTGTTCCCAACTTTGCACGACATGAACCATCAAAATGCTAAGTGTATGTCAGAAACAAAGGTTTGAAATAGTTGCAAGATTTACAACTACTTTAACTGCTCAGTCCAAGCAGAACTGCATGGTAAGTAGCTGGTTGCAGCTTTTGATAGTAAATGCAAAGGATGGTGGTGGTGAATTTGTGACACTGAGTATGAAAATCCCTTAAGAAAACCAGTAGAGCTGCTGGTATATCATGACAAAAGTAAAATGGGCAAATCTTTGCTGAGAATATGAAAAACTGCCCCTTTTTATACATGATAATTTGTTATAGAACATAATTTCACACAAAAAACATTAAAAAAAAAATTTTTAAGGGGCAAAATACGTCAGCAAATTACAAAGATGTTCTTTAGAAACCAGGGAATACAGTATGAATCTGGCGATCTGGACATTTGGTCCCTTATCAATAAACTCCACCCAAGAACCCAAAGCTTGAATACATCTTAGGAATAGGCAGAACTTACTTTGCCTTTGTGGGTTTCCTGCAGCCACTGTCGCAGGCGGATAAGGCAGCTCTCCTGCAGAGGTGTGAGGTCTCCCAGGTAACGTTTAATATAATCTGCCTCCAGCTTGTCTGTAAAACAAAAAGAAATTAACCCAAAAATGCTGGGAAACTGGCCAGCACAGATAGTGTTGCCTAACTAGAATCAACTGTTAAAAAGAGTTAAATCCTTAATGCTGGCCATGAATGGAATCTATCCATGACATGGTCTGCAAAACATGTAGGACTTTTTATTAGGGAAAGCCAAGCATTATTTTTTTTTAGTGTGGCAATCTGTAAAGTATCTGTAACCCCGCTATCATAGGCAACTTTTACATCATTTTACAACTTAACCGCTTCCCGACCGCCCTATAGCAGAACTACTACTGCAGGGCGGTGATTTTGTATTTCCAGGTAGGGGGCGTGTGTGAGCAAATACCCATGCTGCCATTGGCGGCTACAGCTGTCGATCACCAGGTCCTGGGCGGTGACTCCCCGCTGGCACCCGGAGATCACCGAGTATCACTGACTGGGAAGAGGTCTGTAGAAAAACAATACAGATCTCCCCCGTCAGCTACAGCATGCTGCTTTGTATTGCTCTGTGTAGCAGAGCAATACAAAGCAGCGTGCTTACACAGTAAAGCACAACACACAGTAAAACAGTGTCGTCAGTTTTATTAGCATTGATTACTGTATTAGTGTCACTGGGGATGTCAGTGACCTTAGTTCTCCCCCAGTGTCAGAATACCTGCCGCAGTTCCCGCTATGAGTCACTGATCACCGCCATTACTAGTATAAAACAAATAAATTAAAAAGATCCAGTATATATATATATATATATATATATATATATATATATATATATATATATACCACCATTTGTAGATGCTATAACTTTCACACAAACCAAATTATTTACATGTAGCAGAATACATTTTGGCCTACATTTATGACTAAATTTGATTTTTTTTTAATTTTTTTACTGGATATGTTTTATAGCAAAAAAGCAAAAATATTGTTTTTTTTTTAAATTGGCAGTCTTTTTTATTTATAGCACAAAAATTAAAAAACACACATGTGATCAAATACCACCTTAAAAAAGCTCTATTTGTGGGAATAAAGGACATAAATTTCATTTGGGTGCAGTGTTGAATGACTGCGCAACAGTCAGTTAAAATAACACAGTGCCGTATCGCAAAAAATGGCCTGGTCAGGAAGGGGGGGGGGGGGGTAAATCCTCTGGAGGGCAAGTGGTTAAACTGTATTTATTAAAAAAAAAAAAAAAAAAATCCCCGAAAAAAACCCCACAATACCTTAAATGCGTTTACTTGCAGTCACATGATTCTCACTGTTTCCCATAGCAGATAGGCATGTCTGTGTGTGTCGGGAAAACATCACACACAGCAGTGCCTTCTTCCTGCTTGGAGTTTCAGAATACTATGTCTTATTACTGAATATAATAAAGGAAAAAAAACACTGTGTGCACCAAATGCCTACACAAACCCAGATATTACTCTGTAAAAGAAGTAGAGATATTATCACTGTGCAGCACAGTCTGCACCGAGAGCAAATTGTGGGAGAGACCCAATAGGCCCCCCACCCGCTACAGGCTTCCTGCCAGAAATTAAGGGAGGAGGAGGTGGATACAAGACCAGTCATGCTGAACAAGGAAAGAACAGCAGCGGTGGGTCTTAATTACAGCAATATCCCTTCTGTATTTAGATGAGATTTGCTGATCTGTCCCTGTACTACACTTGATTTGAGATATCAGGAACATACCATCAGGAGTGCTGCTGAGAGGCTCAGGAGGACTGGATGAAGTGGGATGACTATCCCTGCTGTTGTGTCCATCAGTAGAATTTACAGTTGGTATGTTCAGGGCAGGAGATGTGGAATGGTCTGAGGTAGAGGTTAGACACTCCTGCTGCTTGGTGGTAGGAGTCCATCGAGGCAGGTGTGTTAGGCCTTCCTCCTCCATTTGCTTCAAGTAATACTCAATTATTTCTTTACCCTGAAACAAAAAAAAAAAGAAAGAAAAATTACAGACCAACAGAATGAAAAATATCTTCAGAGCATTTTCACTGTAAAATAGGCAATATATACCTTCTTTATATTGCTGGTATACTGCTTCATGGCAATCTTTTCCACTGTGCTTTCAAATCCAAAGAATGACTTGATGTCCAAGCTTGCGGATTGCTCAAAGCACGTCCATTCTTCATTGTCGGGATGTACCTGGAATGAAAAGGGATTTTATTTTTACCAACAATGCTTTATAGTTCCACTTGTCAACCATATCCAAGCAAGCTGTAAATTGCTTCCATGTTAAATCAAACCAATCCCTGAAAAAAAAAAAACAACTAAAAATTTACTAGAAAGTACTTCTCACATCTATCTGTCTTAGAGTCTGTTTACAGAGTTTTTGCTTCGTTGCCATTCAAAGCAGCCTGGATATCTACATCCAATTCACCAGTATCCCCTGCCGTACTCCATGTGATCTCTCAATGGCCCCTGCTGTACTCCACGTTTCCTCCTAATGGCCCCTAAGCAGCTGTAGTGACATATGGTCCGGCAAGAGAAACCACAAACTGAGAAGGGGGCCCAGGTGTCTGACACTCCTGGAAGTGTGTTGTATGTGAAAATCCTTTGGGTCGATCTTCTTGGCAAAAGTGAAGATTCTGCGAGCGAGTGCTAGGACAGATAGGTATAAAGCTTCTTCTTTTACAGGAGCTTTTCATAAAATTTTTCTTCTTTTCTCAGAGACAAGGTCATTTTAAACGTGAGCCTAAACAAAAACATTTCAATATATTCTCCAATGCCAGATCCCTGTATATATCGCTCATTAAACAGGTCTTTATATCTAAAGATGGGAAGGTTGCTAGTGTGCAAATGGTTTGGTGTCCATGACCACACAGCTATCATGAGAAAGACAGGAGGTGCTGCCAATGAGAATCCACTTCTAAAAATGCTAATCAACTGGCTCTTCTATTTACCAATGGCTGTTGTGCTTTCAGAGTCACTGACCTAAACAAGTATGAAGATTAGGTAAGGCAGAGAAAGCTAGAAGTCCTTGTGATAAAACATGCTCTAGGTCAGAGATTCTAAGAACTAAAGCAAGAGGGCCAGCATAACTAAAGCAAGAGTGCCAGCATAGTATTTTTGGAAAGGGAACTCAAATATATAGTAATATAACCAGACAGGATACAGTGAAGTCAGCTAAAAGGAACCAAAAGTCCAACCACTTAACCAGGGAGAAGCACGGTGTTAAAAAAAAAGTATGTATCTACATCTCTGACTTCTATCAATAAACAGGCTCACTTCTCATTTTTGGGTTTTGGGCAGACTGCTGCAAATCATTCCAATTTTGCAAAACTAAATTGCAGTGATATCACTTCTAAACAGGTTTATATCTGAACTCTGTATTGGTGCCTATTGACAAATCAACTGTATAAATGAGACGTAAAAGCTTACAGTGTAACAGCAATACTCATGGACCACAATACGACTGGCAAACGTTTCATTATAAGCTTCTATTTGCAGAGTCCGTTCTCGTCTGTTCAAGGAATTTTTTTGGATGAAGTAGACATAGTCTACTCCTGCAATCTAGAAAACAGAAACAAATATGCATACAATCATATATACATGCATCATATGGATTTCTACATTTTCTGGGACAATAAGCTACAATCAGCATTCCTCTGCTCTGATAGTGAGGAACCTGCAGACAAAAAAAAAAAAGAGACAATACTCAAGAAAAAACCCCAATTAGTTTGCTCATCAATGGTTTTACAAAGAGCTAATGTGATGGTGTAGGTCTCTTGCGAGGCACCAATCACATTAAAGGATAAATTCACCTTCACACATGTTACATGTTCCAACCACGTGTAACATGTTCAAGATACTGCAGCCTCTCCCCCCATGCCACTCTCAATGTACAACTGGGGACACTTCCCCCACACCCGCTGTCACAATTAAAAGCCAGCTTGGCCATTCAGGGCTCCGTCAAACGGCCGAGTCAATCATTCACAGTTTTCCTGTGAATTGGATGACAACTTCTAGTCTTGAATGAACTGCAGTGTCGTTGATGAGTGGCCTCGTAGTTCATTCACAAGCCCTGCAAGCTTGCAAACAGTCAGTCCATAGGAAGGTACAGGCTTATAGCTGCAGGGCTTGTCTGCAGAAGTTTGACACTGCACCCCTGATTCACTATTCAGGGGTGCAATGCTTTCCAGGCTCCTTAGGAAAAAAATAAAAAAATTACCTTTTTTTCCTGCAAAAATATGTGCATTTAATATTTTTTCCCAACTGTAAATTTCCTTTAAGTTGTATTATAAAGTCATATAGCAAAATGCCAGGGTCTATGATCGAACGCTGAGAAGACAGTTCATACAGCATGGCAAAAGAAGAGAAGGTGGCAAACAGAATAGTTAAACACTATTTATAGTGTTGTGGACAGACTACATATTCTTTACTTTGGATGCTATAAAAGAGGGAACCCCTCAGCTGGCTGCTGTGGAATATTTATATCTGACGTTAGTGTTCTTTAAATCTTCACTATCCATATCCCTTTTTGTGTTTAAAAAAAATCTCCACAATGGGCAAGTAGGAGTCCTGTCCTCAATTCCATATAAATGCTGGGATGTAGTAAAAGTAGTTAGTTAAAGCAAGACATCCCAGTTTATGTATAGGAATGGGACTTCATACCTAATCACTGCACATGTTGATCTCAAGCTACTAAAGCCTTTCACTAAAGTAACTGCCACCAGAGGAAGTTCCAATATCCTCTAAGTTGGTTCACATACTTTTCCCATCAATGACTTTGAATGGTCACATTGATCAATCAAGAAAGCCGTAGTTATATAAATTCTTATATATGCGTTTGATTTTTTTTAAATTTATTCTTATGATAACTCAAAGGCGTTTGTAGATAAGGTTTGTCTATGCCTATATTTGTGGGAGAAAGTTTAAAAACTCAGGTTTTATATTCATATCTGTACAAACAACAAACACACATTCTGCAATCCAACTATGCAAAAAACTCAAACACTGGTGGCCTACAAAAGAGAGGCATGATGCGTTTCCTCAACTTCCAAAGAAAACCAGATGGAGGAAGTAGACAAGTTTACTCTTATGAATCGCCTCTTCCTACTTAGCAATTCAAAGATTTCCTTTAAGGGAAATTAGAAAAGCTTTCGGTAAATTTTTTTTTTTTTTTATTTAAATGTTTTTAAAGTGATCATTTACACCATGTTTTTATTTTTAAAAAAAATTTCGTTGGTTGTAAACCTCAGACATGAAATACGAACAAAGCGTATCCCTTTATGGCCTCAATCCATCATACAAAATGAAATTTTCTGTCTGCTGCTTCCTTTCTCTGCTATCATCAATCGCTTCTGATGAGATTTTCTGACACCAAGAGAAAAATGGTGACAGGGGAGGGCACAGACTGGTATTGACAGCCTCAGCTCTGTTCCTTAAAGGTAGGTGTGTGTAGGTAGGTGTGTGTGGTCCCTTCCTGTCAATCAGCTGAGTGTAACTTCAGCGCCCCACACACTGCTTTTAAGAGCTGACAGATTCTGTGTAAATTCTGCACTTTGAACAGATTTAGGGGGCAAACAGGTGTAGATAAATAGGTACAACTTATGTAGGAGGATTTCTTTCATCTCTATGTATCAGTTGTATGGGGCCAGTTACTTCAGTGGGTATATGTAAGTGTTTACAACCACTTTGAGGACACTGGGTGCTCCCTAATATTACAGTTTAGAAATACCTGCTTGCTTGTTGACAGCGCGAACTAGAAGCCCACATTTGTGTATTTTAATTAGTCCTGAAAAGCAGATCATCAAACTGCAGAGGCTATTCATAGAAGGACAATAGTATTTACCTGCAGAGAACCTATGGGCTCCTTCCCGGCCACCCCCTCCCCATGTGACAGTCACTAAAGCTGACCATAGATTAAACTGAATCTTGGCCGGTTCAGCAGTTGGTTGTACCAAAGACGATCCATTGATTGGCTGTTGGATTCTTTACAAGCGATTACTACCAGTGGCTATAGCCGCTAGCAGTAATCATTGTGTTTTGCGGGCAAGGAAGGCTCCCTGCTAGCAGTACACAATAGCGCTACAAGAGGGATTCCCCCTTCAGCAATGGCTGTGTAGATGGGGGGAATCAAGTGATTTTCTTTCCTTCCACCCATCACAGAAGAAAAGAAAATTGCATAATCTATGGTCTGCCTAAATTTCCATTCTAATCAGATTTACTTCAGTGAACATTCATGATTATTTTAGCAGGGAGGCCTCACCTTTTTAAGCAGCCGGGGAGCAAATCTACATCCAGTTTGCACCGTCTCTCCACTACATGCACTGCTCCATCCTCACTGAGGAACTCACTCATGATATCGCTGCCCACGAACATGGGGATGAGATGACACGTGGGAAAACGACGCTCATAGGCCTGAGAAAGAGAAGCAATCACATTACTTTATTTACTGAGAAAATTATGGACTAATATTATATTTGGGAATAGTGCTAATCCTTCAAAAAATTGCTGCTTTACAAACTTTATGTCTAGTTACAGCAATTCTTGAAAAACACAAATACACAAAATAATTTTAATTGCAAAAGTGCAAAAAGGTTTTTCGAAGTATGTGAAAAGCTACCGATACCGATGATTAGCACATGACTTCTGTGACAGAAATTCAGAGAACATTTAATTCCTTCTCTAAGCCATAAATAGACATGACTACTTCTGTACATACAATAGTATAAGAAAGAAGAAACCAGACTTCTACACTTCTTTGTCTGCAATCATTACTGACTGTATAAATGGCAAAGTTGCACACCATCACACGTAGTCAAATGGTGCTCTCAGGCTGAAAGGGTTGCTCGCTTACAACCATCATGTATGAGTTTAAAGCCATGTAAACATAGCCAAATTGTATTTTTGTAAATGTCTGTTTCACACATGCGTCACCTTGTATAGGAGCAGTGTAAACAGCAAGCTTTCACAAAGCATTTGCAGAGCTTTCAGCAAGCTTTTAAAATACCACACAGCTCCAGTTTGTAAATGTTGAGATTTTAATGGGAGTGCTGGCTGTCACTTTAAACAAGCTGCTGGCAAAGTGTTTAAACTGACAAGCAGCACTCTCATTAGGATCAAAAGCTTGTTGAAAGTTTTATAAAAACTTACTATTCACACTGCTCTTCTACAAGCTACAAGTCCTTAGGGTTCCTACTGCATATCTCAACATTGCTTTACAGCCACCACATAAACCAACCAATCTAAGAGCCCAACTCATCCACCCTCTTCTATTCTATCCTCTTCATCTTACCTGTCCTCATAACCGAACAGAACTATGACTCAGGATTGCACCCACTTAATCTAGCAAGATCTTCCTGGAGCATTTCATTGACTTTTTGATACTACCAGATAACTGAATTGTGCTATTAGTACATTGATTATCTAAAACCAAATCCAAACCCAAAAACATTGCCTATGAGAAATATGGGGGCTGCCATAGCTGAATTACTAATCAAAATGCCGGTTTCTCGGCTGTCATGCTGGCCTACTAATTTCATAATTCAAGTCACTGATCTGAAACAGGTTATACTGAATACATATTCTGGAATAGTGATATAAAGTAAGAAAAGGAGGAGGTAAACACCACATCCTTTTAACTAGCATTTCCAGAATAAGAAATCTGCAATGGCAGCATTCATATTGCACTCAGGGAAAAGTTTCTGATAAGGAGTAACTAAACCCAAGAACAAAAATGTAATACAATGCTGTTTATTAGTACTCAGATCTGGTGGCTCCAAGGTATCTTATTATGGCGGGAGCCTTGGTTTTCCTTCAGCCATGGTATCTTATGGTGGGAGCCAGGGTATCTTATGGAGGGAGCCATGGTTTTCAGCTGGGGTATCTTATGGAGGGAGCCATGGTTTTCAGCCGGGGTATCTTATGGAGGGAGCCATGGTTTTCAGCCGGGGTATCTTATGGAGGGAGCCATGGTTTTCAGCCGGGGTATCTTATGGAGGGAGCCATGGTTTTCAGCCGGGGTATGTTATGGAGGGAGCCATGGTTTTCAGCCGGGGTATGTTATGGAGGGAGCCATGGTTTTCAGCCGGGGTATGTTATGGAGGGAGCCATGGTTTTCAGCCGGGGTATGTTGTGGAGGGAGCCATGGTTTTCAGCCGGGGTATCTTATGGAGGGAGCCATGGTTTTCAGCCGGGGTATCTTATGGAGGGAGCCATGGTTTTCAGCCGGGGTATCTTATGGAGGGAGCCATGGTTTTCAGCCGGGGTATCTTATGGAGGGAGCCATGGTTTTCAGCGGGGTATCTTATGGAGGGAGCCATGGTTTTCAGCCGGGGTATCCTATGGAGGGAGCCATGGTTTTCAGCCGGGGTATCCTATGGAGGGAGCCATGGTTTTCAGCCGGGGTATCCTATGGAGGGAGCCATGGTTTTCAGCCGGGGTATCCTATGGAGGGAGCCATGGTTTTCAGCCGGGGTATCCTATGGAGGGAGGCATGGTTTTCAGCCGGGGTATCTTATGGAGGGAGGCATGGTTTTCAGCCGGGGTATCTTATGGAGGGAGGCATGGTTTTCAGCCGGGGTATCTTATGGAGGGAGGCATGGTTTTCAGCCGGGGTATCTTATGGAGGGAGGCATGGTTTTCAGCCGGGGTATCTTATGGAGGGAGGCATGGTTTTCAGCCGGGGTATCTTATGGAGGGAGCCATGGTTTTCAGCCGGGGTATCTTATGGAGGGAGCCATGGTTTTCAGCCAGGGTATCTTATGGAGGGAGCCATGGTTTTCAGCCAGGGTATCTTATGGAGGGAGCCATGGTTTTCAGCCAGGGTATCTTATGGAGGGAGCCATGGTTTTCAGCCAGGGTATCTTATGGAGGGAGCCATGGTTTTCAGCCAGGGTATCTTATGGAGGGAGCCAGGGTATCTTATGGCAGGAGCCATTGTTTTCAGCCAGGATATCTATGGAGGGAGCCATGGGTTTCAGCCAGGGTATCTTATGGAGGGAGCCATGGTTTTCAGCCAGGGTATCTATGGAGGGAGCCACAGTTTTCTGGTATCAAACAAAGGTTTATTGATAACAGAAAAGAGGGTTATATACACAACACATTTGAATGGGCTGCTGTACCTGCTGGAAACGCAGGAAAAGGGTCCCTGCACCTTCTTGAAATCACAGCCGCAGGGAAATCACATAGTGCATTTGCACAATGCAATTTCCCACATCTGAAAAATGGACTGCATATTCAGGTGCATGAGGGTTCCATTAAGAATCAATGGAGCCCTGCAAGTCTGCTATATAGCAGTGTGTTTTGCCTAACAGTGCGGGATTGCATGTATGTGAACCTAGGCTAAGACTTGTTCTGCGTTTTCATAAGAGCATGTGAGATGCCCTATAACCACCTCAGATAAGACTATTGCAGGTGTTGGGGTACAGCAGAGCTAACAAGAAGGGTATTATTTTGTTTATTACAGGGTATAAATGTATTAAATTCAGTAAGCTCTACTGGTATATCTTAGCAGGGAACAAGCAATGTAAGCAGTTCATTATTTTATTTGAGCTAAAGCTGTGCTGTTATTTCTGCCATCCTCACAGAGCTGTCAAATGCTGTCACTGGCCCCTCTGGCATTGTGTTCAGTACAGACTTGCTGGTGTATCAGTCAGCAGACGTTATTCTGGGGGGGACTATTACCCATGCAGCCCATTCCTTCCTTCCACTGCTCACTTGGCTATGCTGCATGTCACTCCGGGCCTTTATTCTCCTTGACTAAATGGGGTCAAAGCAGAGAAAACAGCTGTGCTACTTTGGCATGCAGAGTAATCACAGGGAATTCAGTGTGATAAACATTGCTGATCACATAAGAAATATATTCGATGAGGTATGCCCTTCCAGCAATTTTCACATCCATTATTTTCCCTTTAAGATAATTCTAAGAACTCTAGTAAGCATTATGTGCTTCTAAAACACCCACAAGATCACATTATGGAAGAAAAACTAAAAGCCTTTCCGTGGAAAACAATCCTTTTCAGGGTGCCAAACCTTCTATCTCTGAGACAAAGAAATGCTCATACGGGGTGATCAAGCAGTTAAAGTGTATGGATTGTCAAACATTTTTGTTTTTTGGATAGCGTAGGGAAGGGTTAAAACCCCATATTGTGTTACTTTTCTGCTGTGTCCTACTGGGAAATTTTCCTTCACTTTCTGTCTTGGAGAGGCAACAGTAAGCAGAGAAAATCTTCCCAAAGTGCATCGTGAATTTTCATTTTCGGCATCAGAATTTTAATTTCGGTGTACCACTAATGGACAGAAATAAAAATATTTCAGAGGGACTTACCTTTACATAAACTATAAAGAGAACTGGTGTCTCCAAAGCAAGGGTCTCCAAAAATTCCAAAGCCAGGGCTAGTTTACTGTCCTTCAGACTTTAGGGAGGCTGGACTGCGCCCAGGAGGAGTAAACAATGCCCAATCTTTGGTAATAGGGGGAGAAATAATTGGTGTCAGTGAGAGGAATAGTACCCCATTTTTGTTGTCATTGGAAGGAATTATGCCTCACTGCTGGTGTCAGTAAGAGGAATAGTGCCCTATCACTGCTTTCAGTGGTAAGAATAGTGCCCTATCACTGGCGTCAGTGGGAGGAATAGTGCCCTATCACTGGCGTCAGTGGGAGGAATAGTGCCCTATCACTAGCGTCAGTGGGAGGAATAGTGCCCTATCACTGCTGTCAGTGGGAGGAATAGTGCCCTATCACTGGCGTCAGTGGGTGGAATAGTGCCCATCATTGGCGTCAGTGGGAGGAATAGTGCCCCATCACTGGCGTCAGTGGGAGGAATAGTGCCCTATCACTGGCGTCAGTGGGAGGAATAGTGCCCTATCACTGGCGTCAGTGGGAGGAATAGTGCCCTATCACTGGCGTCAGTGGGAGGAAAAGTGCCCTATCACTGGCGTCAGTGGGCGGAATAGTGCCCCATCCCTGGCGTCAGTGGGAGGAATAGTGCCCCATCACTGGCGTCAGTGGGAGGAATAGTGCCCCATCACTGGCGTCAGTGGGAGGAATAGTGCCCCATCACTGGCGTCAGTGGGAGGAATAGTGCCCTATCACTGGTGTCAGTGGGAGGAATAGTGCCCCATCCCTGGCGTCAGTGGGAGGAATAGTGCCCCACTGTTGATGTCAGTGGCAAGAATAACTGTTGATGTCAGTGGCAAGAATAAGGCCTCAAGGTGCACAATTATTAGGCAAGTGAGTTTTTTGACCAAATCATCAGTTTTAACAACACATTAATTGCAACCCTGTTGACTATTGGCAACAAAACGTTTGATGGTTCTGTGATCACGCCCCAATATCTTAGCAATTTCAAGGGTGCTGCTGCATCCCTATGTAGAACTTTTTACAATTTTTTACTTTTCAGAGTCAGTTAAATCTCT